GTCGAACTTTTTCATCATGTCATTAGACAAGTTAAAATAAACTACATTCTTCGATTGTTGCACTCACGAGTTGAATGATGTGAACACCTGAACTTGAAGAAGCCTTCCACAGAGTGAAGTTGAATTAATGCAGATTAATGTGAATGAGTGGAACAATTTGTCAAGTGCATTTCACTTAATGTTGATCATATTTCTTCTGCAATTCAGTAACCGTCTGGCTGATATAAAGCCCCATTTTCTTACATACTATGTGAGTGAGACTAATCATGCGATTGAAATTCACATATTTGCAATTGACATGTGTTCTATTAGGTTCATTGTATTCGGTTAATTCGAGTAGTTTGACTAGCGTTTTGTATATTACTCTACACTACTACTTATCAGTATTGAGTAGTCTGTTTCGTTACCCATAACTTTGTTGTATGCAGACATAGTGATATCTGAATTTTTATAGAATATTCTCAACCACATCCATCCACTGAACACATTCATTTGATTCATTCATTTATAATGAGTTTTCAACCAGCTCATAACAGTTGATCCAAGTAATTATTATGAGTAGTTAGAGAAGAAGGAGATTAAGATGATAGAACACACAGAGCATGTAAACCAATATGTATTATTGAAGTGGATAATACACGTATTAGTCATTGAACGGGCAGAGAGAATACCTGTTGTTCTATTGGCTTTACACAAAACAAAGTCAATCGAAGAATCAGTTTGTGAATTCATCGTGCACTGCAATCACATGAACAATTCATTCAGTGAATTATTCATCATCCGATAGTCAGTAATGTCGACTGTCGATTCCACAAAATCATGGTGTATACATATGATTGATGATTGAAGATAATTTATCATCATACCAATTCATTGACGTCCCAATAAGAATAGCCCACGATATTGTTCAGTGATGTAATTATAAGTAGTGATTGAGGCAGCTGTGAAAGTGTACACTTGAATTCAGTGATGAGAATGTGCAAATCAGGCAATGATGAACACGAGAAAGTAACGAAAATGGTGAAGGAATCTAATCTCGTATTGTAAAGTGAATGCGAGACCATGTTGTTGATTGAATTTCACAGGTTGTTATTGTAAATGAACTGTAAGCGAAAGACTAACAAACAATCTCTGAATTATAGTTTGAATAGAATAAGATGATGATGATGATGATGATGGGAATAAAATGCCCTATTTACAAAAATAACAATAAACATGTTGATATAATGGAAGGATGTGGGAACCACAATATGACGAAAGCAGATGTCGAATGTGCAACTTCGTTTTATGGGAAGAAGAAGTTCATGTTTGTGTGAAAGCGTTCACCAAACAACAACAATAATAATAATAATACTCATAGAAATAACAATAATAATAATAATCAAAGGTTAGCTAGAGTACATATTCCATTACATGAATGGATGCAGTTGTTTACTTACTAACATAATGATGATGATCAAAATAACCATTGTAGGTTAAAGTCAAGGTGGTGGTAGAGATGGGAAAGTCTCTCATTTGTAAACGGACTTTTAGTTTCATCCCATGTTTGATTAAAATATTCTGTTGTTCAAAGCAGCTTCAAACAATCGACTGTTGCCAAACGTGAATAGATTCTGAGCGAAGGAACGGTGGAATATGGTTGTGAATTGACTGTGTTGCAGAAGTTAGTAATGTGTTTTAAGATAAACATTCTAACTGATCTCGTTTCATACTTGTGGAAAGAATTCGACACGAGTTATCGTTTGTTTGGTGAAAATCAACCATATCTCCAGTCAAAACATCTTTCATCAAGGTAAGATTGTGCGACAATCGTTGCTTCATTCACGGTCTGTTGTATCGTACGATAGGTGGAAAGTCAAGACAAGAAAAAATACAGTTGTTCTCTTCCAACATTGAATATCACCGTGAACAAAGCGGTAGAAAATGTAGTTGAACATAGTTAACCGACCACACATATTTCATTTATTCCGTGTTCTGTCTATCATGATGAAACTATAAGCACGAATGACAGATTGGAGATTGTAACGTTTTCGAAAATCATCAGTAAACTGATTCGAGATCGATGTGTGCATTCTACATTGGAAAATGTTGATGCTGGCATAAGAATATTTCCGTTGGTAAATTATTACTGACTCGATGACTTGACTGTCAAGCCAATTTATGACTTATAATCTAGGTGTGTATGTATTCGTAGTAACTAACACTAACACCATCGGATGCCGGCTCAGTAGTCTAATGGTTAAGTGCTCAGTCGCGAAGCCAGTCGATCCTGGGTTCGAATCCCGCGGGGTGCGGGATCGTGGATGCGCACTGCTGAGGAGACCCACACTAGGAGGAATAGGCCGTCCAGTGCTTCCAGGTTTCTAACGGCGGTCTAACGTCAATTAATTCATGATCTCAACCAAAAACTTAACAATCTCCACAACCCTCATACTGATACATATATCAGCTGAGACTACGCTCCCTTCGTAATAAAAGTCATAAACATCGTAAGTCAGCCTACTGAGTCACGATCCCTGCTGTGGTTTCATTGATGTAGTCAATTTGAAGGTGGAACACTATTTGATGTCACTAGGAATCGATAGGAAATTGTCATGGTCGGTTTATTGAGAAACGATTGGTGACGGAATATGTAAGGAACATTTTCAAAGGAGGTCGGCTGATTCACACACACTCCCATGTCTTATATTCACTGTCTTACAAACTCATACTACTTCTCTAATCTAAACGTGAAATTTTTGCTTCATTTATACAACATCAGAGAACTGATTAATTTGTTTGGAAACTTATAAAGCACAGTAGTACTGTATTAAACCAACACATTCTGTTGAGAAAATCACACGCTCCACTATTGAAGTTCAAAGTGAAAAGAAATAGTTAAGCCAATCGATTAATTCTCATGGATAACTCATTCAATTTAAGTAATGTTGCCATCGTTCCTGTGAGATCAGAGCAGACATACAGTGACGAGTTCATGAGATGATAAACGCAATAATCTCTGTTCAAAACAATCACATCATCAAAATTGAATTGTTATTGGTTGTGATGTAGGAAGCAGTTATCGTCAGTGCATTGAGATATTGGAGAAGAACATAAGTAAGTCGGTTTAAGGCAATGATGTTTAACGAGAGTGCAACATTAAATCATGCACAAACATCAGTTATGAGCACATCAATATGGAATTGGAAGTAGACTTAATTGACGAAGTAAATCACACAGTGTCCTCAATTGTTTTAACATCAACATAGAATTGACCAAAACATGGGCATGTCAACTCGACGAAAATCACTGTGAGAGCCATAATGACTATTCATAATGAAATAAATGACCAATACAGTTTGCATTCATCCAACTGGTTAGAAATTATTCATTTTATCATTGAGCAACCACCCAATTGGTCAATTTGTGGATATGGGAAATTCCACCAATCAATTGATTCATCTCCACTATATAAACAGCGGCAGCAGTAGTAGTTGTTGTTATTGTCGAACAATAAACCATTTCACTTACATTTCAATTTACATCAAATGATTCAATATTCATTCGTGATCACTGTGTACATTTCAATTCATCTTTCATATTGTTTGCACACACAAACAAATGTGACAAATCATTTGACATTGTTATCCTCATGTGAGCAGTGCTCGAAATGCAGCACAAATATGCATTGCAACTACACACAATGGATAAGCAGATTGGGATTGCCAGAGCAGACATTCTCACAAAACTACTGGTTGAATTCAGTCAAAACGAAATCAGATTGCCTCACTGAATGCCGATCTCATTCACAGTGTAATCTATACACATATCAAATTGTAAGTTTAACATACATTTTCACTAAATATGTAATTGTCTAACTGATATATCACTGTATATATACATACTTCCAGTTGAATTGATGATCACCGATTCATCTCAATATCCACCTACCCTGTTATCTTAGCAAAAATATTATTGATATTCTTAGTTGTAGAGAATAAGAAACGTTTGCAGTTTGACTGTATGGAGCGTTTCATTGAGATGTCAAGTGTCCCATTTGAGCTATTATTATTATTACCATTTATATTAGATGGAATGCTACATCCATCAACCATTTGATGTATGAATTGCAGATATACGTTATTGTTATGACCTTGAAGTTGAGGATTCAAAGCGTTTCTCCACCCGTCGCCAATTGTTATGACCTTGGGTGTCCGACTTTCTTATCACGCGATTTATCTACCAATCCGAATACGACTTATACGAATCTTCACACTAGGCCAACCAATGACGTTCAACCGGTGTGGGCAGTCTAGCGTCCTTATTGGTCCTATGTCCTACGAGCCCTTCCACTTGAGTCCAGAACAAAATACCAGCTTCCGAATCAGAGCAGATCAGACCAGATCGTTTATTTCAGGCATACTTGGTTTATATATCAATCATACAGACCGCAACGTACCATAAAATAGGAAATAATATTTGTACACAAATAAGCCCAAAAAGTGGCTGTGAATGTGGGAGGCAGTAGGTAATAAACTGAACATAACTTAAGAACCGTAAATTGTACAATAATAAATTATAGGTCAAAATAAAGCTTGTCATAAGAGGGATACAAATATACATAATGTAATTGTTGAATAGTTATACAGTAAGAATATTTATAGAATATTAGTCCATGAATAGTCCTCGGAAGTTACCTGTAATTTAATCTCCACTCGGATATAACACCTCCCCCTTTTTTTTTTTTAAGATTCCAAGTTTAGATTCTGATAAAAAAAAAGTTATATGTGACTTTAAATTCCTCAACATTCTCCTCCTCCTCGAAATAATGTTGGGTCCTTATGGCTCCAAATTACAACTAGTAGGACTTTATTTAAACCATGTTTCTCGTATTGACTGAAGAATCCACTAAAAATGACTAGATGATGATGAACAACTTTTGATCTGAGTTCATTATTTTCAAATTCATTATGAAACTCGTTAGTAGATAATGAGTCATTAAGAAAGTCAACGTCTAACAAAATTAAATTAGATTTTTGACCATCATTCGACTCAGCTGACATATTTCCCTCATTGTTATAAGAAGTTTCATCAAAATCATATGCATTATTCTGAGAATCAATATCTGGTACACTGTCATTAGAAATGGAATAAGTTGACTCAATATAAAATTCTGTCTTCCGGTGATTTTGAGTAACATCTGGTGCAATTTGGTTCATCGTGTTGCTCCAGTTATTTTCTGAATACGAGTCACCATAGCTTTCTCGACTAGTAGCACGTGGACCACAATTTTGTTCGAGCTGACGTTTATTTTCGCAGCTAGACAGTACCGGTAGTGTTTCATTTGATTCTGGACTCTGGGCATCATCTACAGGATCTGGCTCCTGATCATCTGGTATTGTCACAACTTCATGTGCATTTAGCACAATATTTTCTTGCTCTGAGCTGGATACGTTACCAATATTACGTTTCCCTTCTGGTATAGAGGGATTTGAATGCTGCACAGGATATGCTTCTGAAATGTCCATTACTGCACCATTATCTGCATCATCAATAGATTCCTTATTTTCTGGCTGAGTGAAAAGTCTGCCCAAAACTGTTTCAAATAGCTGTTGTTGGAAGGCCAACATCTTCTGCTGGTGCTGTAATATTAACCGCAACTCTTCGAAAGAAATCGACATTTTTTTTGCCAATAATATTAGCTCCAAAAATCACCGGCAATTATACAGCTAATTTATTTCCAAAATCTGAGTCACCACTTGTCGTATTATTATTTCTTTGTTGCCAAAATCCCCGTCGCCAATTGTTATGACCTTGAAGTTGAGGGTTCAAAGCGTTTCTCCACCCGTCGCCAATTGTTATGACCTTGGGTGTCTGACTTTCTTATCACGCGATTTATCTACCAATCCGAATACGACTTATACGAATCTTCACACTAGGCCAACCAATGACGTTCAACCGGTGTGGGCAGTCTAGCGTCCTTATTGGTCCTATGTCCTACGAGCCCTTCCACTTGAGTCCAGAACAAAATACCAGCTTCCGAATCAGAGCAGATCAGACCAGATCGTTTATTTCAGGCATACTTGGTTTATATATCAATCATACAGACCGCAACGTACCATAAAATAGGAAATAATATTTGTACACAAATAAGCCCAAAAAGTGGCTGTGAATGTGGGAGGCAGTAGGTAATAAACTGAACATAACTTAAGAACCGTAAATTGTACAATAATAAATTATAGGTCAAAATAAAGCTTGTCATAAGAGGGATACAAATATACATAATGTAATTGTTGAATAGTTATACAGTAAGAATATTTATAGAATATTAGTCCATGAATAGTCCTCGGAAGTTACCTGTAATTTAATCTCCACTCGGATATAACAGTTATCTTTCAAACTTCTCCTTATTTACAGCTCGAACCGAAATGGTGCAATCTGTATTCTGAACTGATTGAAAACGCTACGATAAAGATCATCAATTCAACTGAGCATATGACTGGAGGAAGAGTGTGTTGTTGTAAGTTGAAATCATGTTTATCATGGTCATATTAATAATCATAATCATAATCATAATGATGAATGTTTCGAATATCCAGTGTGATTAGGGTCAGTGTAACATGGTTTATATGATTGAGGGTAGTTCAGTTGTATTTTATTTCGGTGAACTGAAATGACACATATCCTTTGAGAATATGTAGTTGGCATAAAGAATGAAGTGAGTGTTTCAAAGTAAAGTTGATGGTTAGATGTGAGCTACTGTTTACTGAAAAATCTACTGTATATTAATTGTCCATAGAAATGTCAGTCAGTCAGCAGTCAGCAGTCAGCCAGCAGTCAGTCAGTCAGTCAGTAAGCAACGGTTGACAGACTTTAGAGAAAAGTGTTAAGTGAAGTTGAACAGTGAAATACGTTTTATCACAGTGTGTATATTTGAATTTCCAATCAGCATTCTCGGAACTTCAGTTATTCTAATTAGCTTTAACTTACAAATGCCTCATAACATCACCAACCAGAATGATGCAACTTCTCTCTTCGAAGCATCTCCTTGCACTAATATGTTTGCAAAGTTGCTTCACATATCTGATGTTCCTCCAATCACTAAACTGTAGACTAATAAGCATTTATAAATAAGAATGTTTGTGGTAAGTGAACGGACAAGTTTTCACTGTGAACTACGTACAATTCATGGGAATCGCAATCACTCATCATAATGAATGTTCTTATGAAGTAAACTATTTGCTGAATATCTATCTGATGAATGTTAGATATCAGTGAATATTTTATTGCAGTTTTATATTTGCATAATTGGTTGGCTCTAATGTGAGTCAATCATCTATGTACATCGGTAGCTCATTCAAACCATTTTCCCTTTTACACTCTTCCTCTTCCTCTCCATCTTCTTCTTCTTCTTCTTCTTCTTCTTCTTCTTCTTCTTCTTCTTCTTCTTCTTACATCATTAAATCATTGTACATTCAATGTAATTTGTAAATGTTTGTGTTCATGAGTCTACTGACTATTGTATTCTAATCAACTGTACTGTACTTTACTGTACTGTAGTGTAATGTAATGTACTGTGCTGCAATTCACTATGTATGACATTCTGTAACGAAATGTAAATAAACTATTCATTTGTTCTTTACCATGTGTTGTTCTTTGAAATTAATCAGTGAATAGAAGAAAAGACAATCGTATGAATAGTAGTAATTGATTAGATGATGATGATTGGGTTGTGTTTGCTTTCATGGATAACATTGAAACATGTGTGAATAATGTGAAGAGAAACTGACGAAATTGTAGTTGATTGTAGAACGAGTAGGTTGACCGATGCGATTCTCTTAGTAAATGACACCAGTTGACTGGTTTGTTGAAACGGAACATTCAAACTACCCAACATACTAGAACATCTTAAGAAACCGATCATCATCATTGGAATTATTCCGTTCACTTGTTATAAGGCAATTAATACATTAATTTCATTAACTAACATATGAAGCAGTAAACAGTTTGAATCTCGGGTTTATCAGTTCATCGAAGTTCGAATAAGAAGATTATTTACTTCGTGTTAGGTCTATTGAAGCGTCCATGTCAGGCAATCGAGATACGCGCAAAACTGAATTTCGCATAACAACCAATTGTCTAGAATAACCGTCCTATATTGAATAATAAACGAAAATTAGTTACAAACCTCAACTTGTGAGGTGTCTGTAGCGTTTGACGTGTTTTTTGTATGAAAGAAAAAGAGGCTTCCTGCAACAGTAACACAAAGAAGAATTACAACCTACGATAGAGCAAAAGACAGCTGGTAGTTGTGTCTAAACTTGGTAACAGTTTATCAACATGCAGAACCCGAACCAAGAGCAACACAATGTGGAAATTGTTGCGTTTAAACAGTACACAAAAGAGTGTGGATAACTGCTACAGTGATTGAGGTAAAGCAATTACAATGATAAATAAAACACACCTTATAATTATAAGTAAATATTTCAGAATGTTACACGACTACTTGTGTCACAACATGGTTGCGAAAATTGATGGCAATACAACGATTTACTGAATGTAAATAAGTAGTATAAAATGATACACAAAAGAGTGGAGGAGAAGCGATTAACAACTATGTGAAACAAGCTTAATACCGACCACCAATGACACCATGTACTTCCCTACTATCACTGGTTAAATATTTAGCCTGAAGACATTCACAGATGACAATGGTACGATTCGCTCTATCCAAAGTCACTCAGGAAAGTCTTTCTACACTATAATACTCAATCGTCTGCTCCTTCGAATAGGCAAATTCTACGTGTCTCTAGTGATTATACATTTCGATGTTCTGATCTTCGCTTGTCCGACGAGACCATCTTCTTCTGGTTCAACGCATACCATCACACCTCTGAACCAGATATGTCGTACATAAGTATCTCCAATGATCAAGACCAGATTGCCAGCTTGCGAATCTCGCCTTACTTGTGTCCACTTTGTTCTCGTCTGCAACACTGATAAATATTTCTTTATCCAACTTAACACTTCGTGCTGTAATTTCTTCCAAACAGACTCATTTACAAATGTCAATCAAGGATGTATTGTGCTGATGAGCAATGTAAACTACATCTGCTCAACAGTAGGTTACGATTTCTAGTTAGCACACTGAGAAATGCAACGCGCACAACAATACATGAACTATAGACTTATTGAACAAAGGTCGCATAGATTTATACTACGGATTAGGCACAATTGTACAGTGTACAGTACAGTGTACATTCAGTACGCGTATTTCAATAAATACCATGCAACGATGATGAGCAGATCATTGTCAAAATCCTATCGAAAATAGACTGAGTACAGTGATGATGAATTGATGAAGTTTGCGAAGTCCATATCACTGTCCACATATTTTCCGAAAAGAGAGAGATGGATGAAGCAAAGTAGGAAAGAAGTGTGTTTGCTCTGAAATCAATAATAGTAGAGATGAAGATAGAATGAGAAATTTCTCGAAGTGAATTATCACTTCAGAATGATATCTCAAGTCTACTACATAATTGTCGTTGCTGATTGTTGCTACCTGTCCACACACAACGGTTGTCCATATCTCAGTCACTTTCATGTTATTCATACACAATATATATACAAGGGTGAGTGCAATCATCATTTGAATAGTATGAGATGTACAATGTGTGAGTGAATCTGAATTGAAGTAACCACTGGAATTATCATTTCTAATCACTGATTAGACTACTCATCACAAATAACATGAAATGAACACCGATATCAGTAGATGGAATACTAAATAACAAACACATTATATTTGACATAGTGAATATCAATTATGCATTACACATGCGTCTGTCAACTTTCATGACAACTATTTCAGTAGTGTTATAATAGAACATACGAATCACTGGGGTACCGTACTGTATGTGTTCATGTTGTGGTGTGGTCGAATTTGTAAGTGGATTGGAATTGGCTGACAGTTTTATAAAGTATAGTATGTTCAACTGACAAAACTCTCATCGAAAGCGTGTTCAAATGAAGGTTGTTTAGCAAGCTCACTGAAACTGAACGATTCGAGATGATTGTTTTGAAGTGGAAATACTTCAATAAATTGTTGAATGTTAGTTAGTTAGTCTGACGCTGACGATTGTTCGATTGGCCGCGTCAAACTGATTTACTGATCTAAAGCGTAAAATATAACTTTGTACATTGAAATATTTTTGTTTATTCAAGAGACTGTAGTGGTGAATGGTCAGTCAGGTTATTCTAGTGAATTGCATTAAAATAATGAAATGTCGACATAGAATGTGATGGGAGTAGGCTAGTAGAAACGTACAAATGGGTAGAATTGTACGTATATTTACGGATTTACCGATTACTGTATATTGGTCGATGTATACGACACAGACAACTCCGCCTATCGCTCTTCTAGAGTTACTACCGGTCCCAAACAGGGTAAAGGAGGAGGGTTGAGCATGTGGTTAGCAAACCCATCCAGTAGAATTCTAACTCGCTAGACAAACGTTAACCACAGAAATTAATTCAAACCATTTAAACTCTGTCCTGGGAGTTAGAAGCTCCTCATTTATAAGAACTATGACGCCTCATAGTGAAAGCCGAGTTCTTTCGGAAGCCACGAGGCCGATGCCACTTCTAACAATCAGAACAACAATTTTTACAGGTACATGGAACGTCTGGACAAAGTGGGAGACCGGGAAGACTAGTCAAATAGCATCGGAAATGAGGAGATATAACTTGGCAGTACTGGGAATCAGCCAATATTATCCAGTGTTATGCACCCATCAATGATAGCAACGACGACATTAAAGATCAGTTCTATGTGTTGGGGTGATCCAGAAAATTGCTTGCAAAAGACAAGCAAGCATCAGCAAACACTAAAAAGCGTTTCATCCAATCAGCGTTCACTTGGAGCGAATCGTCTCATGCAGATGCTCTGATTGGTTGGCTGCTCCACTGTTACTATGTTTAGTAGCACTTCCAGAATCTTCTAGCAACCCAAGGACATTTAAAGTATTATAAAAACAATGTATCTTCTGCATTAAAATGAACCTTGGAGTAAACTACTTCTCGCATACTTTGAGTCTTCTCT